TTTCAGTTCAACTACCTCAGAGGCATCAACTTGTCCTGTCTAGGGTTACATAATGAGGAGCTAACCCACTAATTACTACAGGCTTGTGTTACATGTTCTCAACATAACATGCGAGATTATAACTGAGTTACAGACGACATTTGCCTAGAAAAACTCTCCTAGTTATGGTCTTTCTAGAAGCTAAGATTCATCCGGTATCTAGGCTTAGCAAATTTTTGTGTCAAATTTGTAAATTAATCAGTAATACTCCAATGATAGTTACTTTCATTCCAATTACTTTCACCCTATATTTTTCACTAAACCTGAGACTGCCATGAACTAGATATGGCAAAAGCAACTTTTTGCAACTTTTACTTTGAAGCCCAGAACGAAAGCACTATAAACAAACTCTCAATCCCAGTAGTGATAAGTAACTTGAGAAAGGGCAGACTTTCTCTTCTTGTTTTATGGGTTTTCTTGGACAATATTTCTGAGTTGCTGGCGGTAAAATATGTAAAACTAGTGTTGGCAATGATGTTTGAGATAAATTTCCACTGGAACAATCTACCATCCGAAATCAGAGACTCCGATTCATATGACTCTTTCAAAAAGGGCGTCAAAACCCATCTATATAAAAATGCTTATTCTTCGTGGCAATGGACTTTCAACCTTGTACACTGTTAAGTGCCTAAGAGTGGTTAATGGTATATGTTAAGCCATATAGGGCGCTATACAAATTTTTCATATCATTATTTATTGAAAGCCCTTTAAATATTAAATTAGGAAACCCCAATGTCTTCAGTCAAAACATATATTTTGGTAAGATAAATTTTTCATAGATGTGTGAAAATTTAAGACAAGAATGATAAGAAGCAAGGTAATGGATATGTTTCTAGCCATAGATAAAATAATGCAAGCTGACCTGATATCTCTGATTTCATAAAGAAAACATTTCCCTCCCTCAAGTAACCCACATTGTATTTTACACACATTTACACACAGACAGGCACGCACATACACTCATGACTGGCTTGCACAAGTACTGGGGCGTATAGTAGCCTAGTGGTTGAAGCATTCACTCATCATGGTGAAGATGCAGGTTCGATCCTCTACATGGATACAATCTCTAAAGTCCATTTCTGGTGTCCCCAGCCTTGATATTACTGGCATATTGCTGAAAGCAGCGTAAAACTAAACAAACTCACTCACAAGTTACTATTATCTCCTCCCATCAGCTGAAAAACAAACCAAAGTCCAGACATATATTTTCTGGAGACTCCAGTATTTCTGGAACCATGGCTAGCCCTCTTTGTTCATGTTGAGTGATGTGAACTTTTACCACAGTAATCAATGTTTGCCATTACATCTGCCACAGCAGGTCCCTTGTTAAATGGTAATGTTCCATTATTGAAGGGAGATACACTTACTGATGATCAGCCAGAACCACGCTTTGAAAGTTAATTAAAGTTATCCTTTGTATAGGAACAACGAAGAGTAGCATAATTACAGGCAGTAATAATCTGTGGCAACGTTATATTTGATAAAAGGTACAGGTGTAGATAAAATGACTCTTGTTGGTAATGGGAATATGATATAAACTGACCAGTTATTCATTGCAAGACCATAGGCGGGATGTGTTTTTGTGTGTGTAGTGTTTTGTAGGGTCCTAATTCCTTGGTATGCTGCTGTAATATACACTGAAAAGCTAAAATTAATAGAAACACAAAACCACTGAAATTGATTTTATAAAAACTGAAAACATTTTAAACATTCCTGTGAAAATTATTTTTTCAAGATCAGTATTCAAATAAATATTTACATTTTGTGTAATTTGTGTATGTGACTACAGTATATTTCAAATTACCTTTGCCCATCCTATGACAGTTATCTACATTTGCCCTGTCTGGCAGAGAGTTAGTCTATCGTACAGACCCTGAAGCAAATATATCCAAGAAAGCCCATGCAAGTCTAGAAAATGTGGCAAGTCTAGATTTCCTCAGCTTGAAGAAAGTCTCAGGGCTCCTTTTCATTATATATATATTTTTTTACTATGAACATTTTTTTCAGTAAAATATGTTCATTTCAGAGACTAGTTGTTAGTCTAGCAGAGAGTTACCTACCATGGCACTGACTGTGAGAGTAGCCAAGTTTGTGAGTTACCTACAGTTGACTAGCCAGTAAGAGTTGCCTGCCTTTGCTCAATCTGGTAGAGTTACTTCCCTTAGCTCACCCTGGGAGAGTTGCCCACCTTTGCTCAGTAGAATACTGCCATGAAGGAATTAACGTAAAAGTTATTGATATATGGGGTAGTTTTTCCTTCATCCCTTTTCAAAATAATCACATAATGATAGAACTAGAATTCCGACTATTATTTAGTATTGTTTTTCTCATAGGCTGGGTCACCAACAGTCTCTGGGTTATCTCTGAATTTTGCTAGAGTTGACTTAAACATACTTGATCATGCTAGCTACTTGAAGAGCATGCTATCCACTTTGACCGAAAACATTTTCATTTGGGAGAGTAATTGTTCCTTTGTGTCTATCTTTATTGTCCAGTGTTAGTTCAGTAAATGATTTAAGTGTGACATAGCTCCCCACAAACATGATTAACTGTACACATCCTGGAGGCAGAGAAATGCATTTCAATAATAAGGGTTTGTACTTTGAAAACATCCAGATCCCATAACAGACCATGTAGAAAGCAGTCATCACAATCTTTTGTGTTGAGGCAGTTGCCCGATGTTTCTGGAAATGTTCAGCTGAGTCCTGGGGCTGTTCTGACCAAAAGACTGCACCAAAGAACACTTATTTATCACTGTTTTGTGACTGTGCTTGATGTCAGCATGTAGGAAACTGAGTTTGTAGCATGAAGCTGACAAAACTTAAGTTCAACAGAGGATTTCAAATGAACCAAATGATTAACTTTCAACATGTCAACTAATAACATACCACCATTTAAGCTACTCAAAACATATTAAAGTTGAACACCTGCAATTTGAAGGTTGTACAATATTGACAAACATTATTGGTAACATCTTCTTTTATTTCGTGAGTGCGATATTACAATACATATTTTTGTACCGCTTAACAACAGTACAAGAATCTATATCGAAACATTATATGCATAATTTTTATCCATTAATTAAGTCTGTCAATATTGTACTACCCAACTTCTAAACTGCCACTCAATGGAAGACTGTAGGTTACACTACCCATAACCCATGACAGATTAACTTTGATCGTATAAGAAAAATGGTGATCTTTAACTTCCTTTGTGTAGTTTACTTGACTGAGAATTATCGATACAAACTGCTTGACGCCATCTTGTCCTCTCCCACAAAACAGGGTGTAGCCTAGTGTGTCTCTGTTTAACAGAAAGTTGATACTCTGTTCTGACATCCTTGTTTTATCATTCTGGAGCGTTATCTTGTTTTTGTAGCTGCTGTCATGGTGTCGTCTATCCTCTGTACTTTGAGAAGTCAACTTTCCTGATATTCACTTGATGAAAGGGCAAGAAGTAGCCAAGAAATGTCACAAATAATAAAAAAGTTGTTTTCCATAAAAGTTTCATGTCCTTACAAACTTTCTTAACAAGTAAACATTCCCTGCTGAACAGCATACATAAGTTGATATTGAATTAAACCAATTGCATAATATTGAGATATTATGATGTGATTTAATCAAATATCTGTGGAGATCTGTATAGGTCTTGTAAGTCTTGTACACAGCATTGTAATACTATAAGTGTGATAACAAATGTTGTTTTAAAACTTGATAATGTTTTCTGACTGCTTGGCTCAAATAATTTAGAGTAAGTGAGTGAGTTTAGTTTTACACCACTCTTAGGCATGAACACTTTAACCATTGGGCTACCCCACCACCCCTAATGGCATATGGTATAATGTTTGTCGGAATAGTTTTTGCACCAGATTGGATGAAACATCATTGATATGATGTTTTTAAAATAGAGACAGAGAGATGAATAACTAATTAAATATCTGTATCAAGGGTGCTGTATCACGGATGCCGTATTATGTATGGTATCATCAGGTGCAAATTTACATCAGTACATTGGTAACTCGGTGACCCTACTGCTAATCTGAGATTAGTAGAATAGGTCTTCAGCAACCCATGCTTGCCACAAAAGGCGACTATGCTTGTCGTAAGAGGCGACTAACGGGATTGGGTGGTCAGGCTCGCTGACTTGGTTGACACATGTCATCGGTTCCCAACTGCACAGATCGATGCTCGAGGTGTTGATCACTGGATTGTCTGGTCCAGACTCGATTAATTACAGACCGCCACTATATAGGTGGAATATTGCTCAACTCAACTCAACTCACTCATTCACTCACTAATTTGAGATTGGAGCAAATTCAGTGTTGTACACCCAAGGACAGGACAGTCATCTAACCTTGTGGTTATTCCAATTCAGAATCCGTCTCAAACAATCGAAAAGTCACACAGAGCAACTTAATGGATACAGATGCCAGGCATGGATTTCTGCTCATAATATCAATCACTGGTTTCTGTGGTCAGACTCAACTATTTACAACCCGTGAAGATCCGGGTTAGAATTGATCTTCAGTAACCCATGCTTGTCATAAGAAGCAACTAACGGGATCGGGTGGTCAGGCTCGCTGACTTGGTTGACACATGTCATTGTATCCCAATTGTGTAGATCGGTGCTCATGCTGTTAATCACTAAATTGTCTGGTCAAAATTCGATTATTTACAGACCACAGACATATAGCTGGAATATTGCTGAGTGTGGTGTAAAACTAAAATCACTCACTTAACTATTTACAAGCAGCTGTACTATATCTGGAATATTCAGGACTGGAACATTAAAATATATTAATATCAACTGACCATTACCAAACCTATCAGTACATAATGTGCATAAATATAGGAATTGGTCAGGAACTATTAACCTAAACATGCATGGTTTTACGAAAACATGAAAAAAACATTGATTCTTAAAATGTTTGACTGATGTTGTATTAATCTGTGTTTTTCCAGATACCGTGGTCAGAGCGAGTTCAACTGCCCGCCAGATGTGGTGTTTCAGTACGTTGACCCATTGCCAGGCAACTCATTCAGAATGAAGTGGGACAAGGCTATGAAAAAGATCGAGACAATCAGGGAAATTAACGAGGTGAGTATACGCAACATGGCTGATTATGTGTCAGAAATGTTGATGACACATGTTCCAATTATTGAGAAAACAGTGAAAGTATTTGTGACTAGCACCATTATTCATCCCAATCAAGTTTATCTTTAGGGCTCTAATCAATAACGCAATTGTAGACTATCTGCTTAACTCCTGTTACTCAATGTATTTACATAACTGACTGGTCAATCAATGGTTTCAGATGACGCAGGTTGTTGCATAAGATTAGATTCAGTAGCAACAATGTCGACTGTATTTTCTGCTTGACTGGTAGAAACTAACCTTTTTTCAAAGTGTCATAACATATAATTTCTTGAGTTGGTTCGGGAACCTGTCTGTTCAGAACTCCCAAAAATCGTAAACACTGCGGCTAAAATCATTGGGCTTCCTATCAAAAGTATTCGGCAGTTATTATGAGCAGCAAATTTCCGAAAAGGCAAACTTAAATGATCCATACATTTTTCGGAATATTCTTCACTACCTTCTGGCTTCAAATGCCGACTTTTAGAACAAACAGGGTAAACCACTCATTTGTTCCACTTAGTATTGGATGTATCAATATCAAATTCAATGAATGACTTCCAAATGTGCAATATAGAATTTCTAGTCAATATCAATGTTTGTGTACTAAATTGTTGTATCTATATCCTGATTATTTTATACAAATAGTTTTATTATTATCATTTGCAATGATGTATAGATGCTTTATGAATGTAAAACCTGGAGAACTGTACATGATGCAAACCAAATTTCCCTTGGGATAATAAAGAAATTATCTTACCTTATCTTATGACAGAAGATATGTGCAAACTCACTGCTGCCAACAAGTAATATAAACCTTTATATCCTGTCAGAGGACCTACATATACTGTTCTGTTTCCAATAAGGTTAGGGCGGTGGGGTAGCCTAGTGGTTAAAGCGTTGGCTCGTCACGCCGAAGACCCGGGTTCGATTCCCCACATGGGCACAATGTGTTTAGCCCATTTCTGGTGTCCCCCGCCGTGATATTGCTGGAATATTGCTAAAATATTGCTAAAAGCGGCGTAAAACTAAACTCAGTCAGTCAGTCAGTCAGTCCAATAAGGTTAATATACAGTCAAATCCCAATGAGTTGAATCGCTGGGGACCAAGTAGGTATATATATATCTTTATTCCAAATCACCTGACAGAGAGTATATATTGAAATGCTGTGCTTCCAATTGATAATAAACCTTTTTATCATACAATGGATAGTGTTCTCGGCAGGATAAAGCCAACAGATATTTTCGGTATCCGTTGGGGTCATATATGGATATCAATGCAAATTAGAGAGGTCATATGCAAATTTTAGGGACTACTTTCACAGTGTAAACAAACATGCCGTCAATGGTCAGCGGGCGTGTCCGGATTGGCGGCCGTGGTTACGGTACTGTCAGTGCTTTGATCCCAGAAAATTCATGTCTGGTTATGATAGATGGAGTAGATTACAAAGCGAAGATAGAAATTCATAGGTTTATGAAGATACCAACATCGACCGCATGTCAGTGTTAGCGAGAGAACGGCACTAGGAACCCAGATGCACAATGTCACGAGAACATTAAAGTGCATTTTTTGTTTAAAAGGTTTACTCAAGGTTTCTGAAGTTCCACGCGAGTTTGTTGTTATTTTCAAACATAAGCTAAGATTTGTTGACAACAATACATACTTTAACATAACAACTGACAGGAACTAGATGACATAACGCAGTCAAATGAGTGATCAGTAGAACATTGCGTCGCAGAGCTTGTGACGTCAAGTATTACTACGCCCATATTTGTGACGTCATAGATATGTGGACACATTCCACGAAGTTTAGTTTCATGATTTGTGGCAAATGAAATCGCATTTTTTTTAAATTATAAAGTAAGAATGACATTGTATGATAAAAGGTTGTCATCACACTCGTGTGTTTTGGGATGGTTAATATCCTGCATCATGAATAAACACTATGTATACAGCTCGCCAAGGCTCGCTAAATACAATGTTTATTCCTAATGCAGGATATTAACCATCCCAAAACACACTCGCGGTGATAACCTATATATATCTTCTGACAGGCATACACATCATGCTTCCAGTGGGTATGCCTCTGTATCCCATACTGAAGGTCTATGTAAATGTTCAGACTCCTCTATGAAGTGTTCTTTTTTTCAGGATCTAAGAATCAACAGAACATGTACAGACAGTGCCTGCATGGGTTTGATATCCCCACGTGACTTTGTGGATTGTATTCTGACAGTACGAGAAGACACCTTCATATCTACTAATGGTAACTGAGGTTCAGTTTTAGGCAGTTTGGTGTATCAGCATCTCTTCTCATCCATGTAAACCTGCTACAAATAATTCAGCATAAAATAGAGTAGATTATCTGTTAGAGTTCTACGTGTGCTTGTGGGTTTCCTGAAGTGAGTGAGTGAGTTTGGTTTTCATGAAGTGAGTGAGTTTGGGTTTTCGCCGCTTTTTGCAATATTCCAGCAATATCATGGCAGGGGACACCAGAAATCGGACCCAGGTCTTCAGCATGACAAGCGAACACTTTAACCACTAGGCTACACCACCACCCAGGGTTTCATGAAAGTTAAACATCGAAAATATTAGAATTCCTTTAGCTTTCCACCTCGACCATGAGCATAGCAGACCAGGAATAGTCAGGGCAATTGGGCAAACCGTGAAACAGGCATCTAAAGGACGAAACTCGGCATGTGCCTTAGACTATAGGGCCGCCTCCGTGGTGTAGTGGTTAGAGCGTCCGCCCGGAGAGCGGAAGGTCGCGGGTTTGATCCCCGACCGCGTCATACCAAAAGACGTTAAAATATGGTACTTGTTGGTCCCTGCCTGGCGCTCGGCATTAATGGGTACAACAATGACTGGTCGGCTCAGAGTCAGTATACTGTGTCTGAGTGGGATATTCATGCTTCACTGCGGCATGGTATCTCAGTGAGCTAGCACTATAAAACCAGCTTAAGTCTGGGCTAGTACAGGCAGCCGCACATACACATACACACGCATGCACGTCGTCATATGAGTGAAATATTCTCAAGCACGACGTTAAATCCAATTTCACCTCACCTCACCTTAGACTATAGGCCAGTAGTCCTCCTTACACCTTATAAGATGCACAACTGTGAAGTATCCAGTAGATTGTTCCAGAATGTCTTAGGTGTAGTATTCCGATATGTACTACCCAAACCCCTAAGGTTGTGATGCAATGTTCCAGGTGTAAGCGTTTCCTGTGATGACGAGTGTCCGCCCCAGGACAAGTATGTCCGAGGATGGAACTACTCCTGTGGAATGCTGTGCCAGAAGTTTCCAGAGTAAGATCTTTTCTTTACATCAATAGCTTCTTCATGTAGTCATTTACATTGTTCCCAGAGTTAACACATAGCATGCACTTTTATTGAGTTGGGAATATATCGACTGAGCTTTTGAGATATTCTTATTCTTTGGCAGCCAGTTTATCACTTTGGGGGAATAGGTTAATTTCGACTATAGGCATAGCTGTCATTCCCTGAGAGTTCCAATGAGTGAGAAGCTCCAGGATGACACCCTGGAGGGGTGGAGGGTGGGGGGTGGGAAGACAAGAGCCCCACTCACTCACCCCAAATAAATTGGTTTTTAGGTTATTTTAAGATGCTGATTTATAACTCCCCACCCCCAAATACTTTTAAACAATTTTCAATAACGCATGAGTTTAGAGAGATAATGCGAGAGTGTGTGACATTAAGGTAAAATGCAGGAGTCTCACACAGGCCTTAAGAATTTTCTCTTCAGTCAAAGGGAGACAACTTGTTGGATTTGTCCTGTCACCACTACCCTTTGATATGATCAGATAAATCAGTCTGAAAATAAATGTCAGGGTAGACCAATTCTGAAACAGCAAGAATCTGGGGGATTAAAATTCTGTGTTTGATTGAAATAAGTAATAAAACTGGTGTTGCTTTAGCTTATGACAGGATAACTTCAGTACTGTACTATCATTATATAAGACACTGTCAATGTAAAGTGACAACTGAAATATATATAACTTTCTTAACAATTTTTTTATTCAAATCATTTTTTAAACCAAAAATAACAGTGCTTGCCTATCAGAAATCATCATGGTAACCATATTCGGTAATTGGCGCCAGTTTTCATTGAAAAATACAACCATTGTTCTTGATGCATTTACAACATGTTCCACTGCCATATTACCTGAGAATGATTGTATTTATATCCAGTCCTGTTTTAGCTATTTATTCTTGTTTGCCAACAGTAAACCAAATCATACAAAACTGGTGACCTTGATACAGCCGGATATAAAAGGGATGCTACCCAAGAAGCTAGTGGATTCCGCCATCCCCGGTTCTATGGTCGACTTCTTCGCGAACCTCCGAGCTTGTCTGAAGGAAGATGGGAAGTTGGTGGGATGAGTGTCAGTTCACTGGGGCACTGAAGACTTATGTCAGATATACAAGTATGAGAAACTAGGTTGATCCACGTGCATTTTATCGTCAGCCATACTTTCACACAATGTTGGTGTGAATCAAGTGTTTTGTTATTTTAACTGCTGGAAAATTATTTTTTCAATTATTGTTGAATGCAGGTACAAATTTATGTTTTAAAGTTTTGGGGTATCTTTGTTGGCTTAAATATCTTGAAGTCATTCTGTTGGGTATGGCATCTTGAATACACATTTCAACTAAGTGCTGTGCACTTTAGTAGTGTGGAGTTTGGGAATTACACAATGTATTTAGTGAGTCAAGTTTGTCAAAATATCTAAAGATTCAGTGTTACAATGTTGACCAGAAACTATTCATCCAGAACCCCTGAATTATTAAAAAAACAACTTTGTCTGAAAACCCCAGATATGCATAGAATACAGGGTTTATGAATCTTGAAAATTATTATACATGTGTAGTTGAAGATTTCACTTTTAAGTGTTGTCCTGATTAGCAAGGTTTCACTGTGTGAAGAGGAACTTAAGTGGCACTAAAGGTTTTTGCAAGAAAAGATTATTAGAAGCCATTGAAGTCTAGTCTGTTGAGTAATAATTCCTTTCATGAAACTGTTGTCATCGTAGAGTTACCTCCCTTTTATCACAGATTACCAAATGTATTGATGCCAAATAAATCAATAGCCAAAACCAAGTGGACCAAAAACATCTGGGTAACAACAGACACTTACTGTGATATGTCTTATAACATTAATTCCAGTTTCTTGAATTCAAGATGGGAAGTCATATCAACATGAGTTGAACCGTTGTGTTTAGACGATCAGTATACTTATATGATCACCTCATGAAAGTCACACAATATTCAGTCATTTTGCCAAGTTTATATGATTGCAAAGTATATTTTTGAAATGGCTAGATTATATGTACCTTCAGTGCTATGAGACCCATGAATATATTGTCTATCTGGCATATTCTTCTGCAAATCCCCATGTAAAAACTAATATTGGTACACATGAACCTTAGACATACAATTTACCATCAAGCATATTTAGAAAAATATACTTTGGAGAAATAATATTGTTGAAATATCATCAAAGCAATTTATGAAGCATCTAAGCTTTCAAAAGCATTATTATATGCGTTGATGGTGTGTTGTATGTCAAATGAGGGTTGAACAACTAGTCCATTTCGTATCTGTCCACTTTGTGCTGTTTTTATGTATACATGTAAGTCTTAATGTAATGTTCGGAATATTGGTTAATTATGGGAATTATTTATCTTACAATTGAAATATCTACAAGTTGAAGCCTTACCTGAAAGAGAATGTGTGGGAGCTTGAAAACCCACACACATACATGTCTTCTACAACATGCCTGGTTGTAGGTGATTACTGTAAGTGATGCTCGGGACAGTGGGGTAGTCTAGTGGTTAAAGTGTTTACTCGTCATGCCAAAGACCCAGGTTTAATTCCCCACATGGGTACAATGTGTGAAGCCCATTTCTGGTGGCCCCCACCGTGATATTGCTGGAATAATGCTAAAAGCGGTTCATCCAGTCAGTCATGGGACTTGAATGTCTGAGACATTGTCCTAAACAACTTGTGGTATGTGATTTCATCTGTCATATTTTCAAATACCATACCAATTCTCCTTGGTTACAATGTAAATGTTTAGTGCTGTCATTTGGTAAATTCTTCATGGACCTAGGTACACATCCTTCATACTGGAATGGAGTGTATACAAGCCCTTGAAGCAATATTGATCAACTCCTCCTGGCTGAACTAATAACCATGAAACGGAATATTAATATACAGAAATGTAATTGTAGATTTCCGATATACTTTAAATTAAAGTGTGTTTACATATATTTCTGTAATTGTACATAAATATCATTTTGTAGTGTTTGTAGATGTAGGAGTAGGTCTCTCAAGTCAGTCTTGTATGTATTACCTAGTCTTTGTTCAAGTAACTAGTTTGCTGCAAAGAGTTACCACCCTTACTATGCCAGGATCCTCTATCATGTATCCAAACCTAGATTCACTCCAGTTATGATCCTTTAAGTCTGTCAGCATGCTCATGGGTTTCGTGAAAATGTTTAGAGTTGAATATTAAATATTTGATTCTTTTGGATATCTTATACTAAAGGACACAGAGGTGGTCCAGTCATCTTGTGCTTTGAGTTGGCTCCCTCAGTCTTGCCAGGATCTGCTGGTCCACCTTGATTCTGATCTTTGCTTTCAGCACCACACCTATGTTGCTTGGTGATATATCCTTCATTACATCAGACCTTATTGCAAATATGCAGCCAAAATATATAGAAAATTTCTTCTCCAAGTCACATCACACTGTTTGACTTCTCCTATATGAAGATTCCAAGGGATCCCAGTGTCACAGAGATTGGTCATACCTTGACAGCTCACATTGCTGTCATTTCTCATGATATTCTGTAAGTTTACTACATGTAAAGCTTTCATTGTGAGGCTTCCTGTAAGTAATTTTAATGCATTAAAAACTTTACAATCATGAAGTCAAAGTTCTATGAAGTCTATGGAATATGTACCTATTCAGTATATTGTAGATAGATCCTTAACTTATGTACATCAAGCACAACCTTGTACCATAGAAATATTTCAACCATATTTTTAGATGCTCAGAAGTAATATTTATTTTGAGTATTTATCAATTCAAATATAAGTGGCAAATGTGCATATCTGTAAATTAATCAAACTGTAAGTACTTCATAGTGTATGGATAAGAAGGTGTTGCTTTAAATCTTTATGCTTTCCAAACTGGCACACTTTACTTGTTACAGTCACGCCACTGTTTCAGTGTTGGAAGTTACACATCAAAGCTTAGGGGTTGCAGCCTTAACTCTGTGTTGAGAAGTACAGATTTAGTGGTTCCCTAGTTACCAAAACTATTTTGTGAGGGACCAGTTCAAAGGTTACATGCTGGATTAAAAACTTAATCATCTAGAAATCAGTTATCTTGTTGGATAGAAAACCATTAATGGGCCAAATTCACCAACCCTTAATTTAGGGAATCAACATTTATCTGACCTCAACTTTTGATCTAGTCCCTTAAGTATTTCAGTTGCTCAATTATACATTATAAAATAATTCAGCTTTAAGGTACCTTAAGACTTTGGGATCAAGGCTTATTTTTATATACTGTCATGCTATGTCAATGGCACAGCCTTAACCAAATATACAAGGACAATTATGAGGGAGAAAGAGGTAGTAAGGGATTTTAAGAAGTGAAACATTACCCCCCAAAACGTATCTTTTCAAAAGGATGGAATTAAAAAATAGTAAATTAATGTGACCACTATTTACATAATGTTAGCACCTTCTGTGTTTAGAGGCGCTTGAACTGCAGCTGAACTTCCGTGAATATAGTGAAACTGCTTTCTCTCTCATGTACTAGTATGTGGTATGCATTCGGACGGTCTTGTATTATTCTTCAACTGGAAGGAAGTAACTCTGGTATCAAAGTATGTCAGCTACCACAGCTCAAATGATTTACACAAGATGTCTGAAGTAACAAGAAAATTTTAGGAATAGTGATTACAAATCGTATTCCTTATATCATTAGTTACATATTGATGAACATGTGGAATTTGAAATACACGAAATTGCAAAATTGTTTTCTTTTTAAATGTTCGCTTGCAATTTGTTTTATTTTCAGACAGTGCTAGTTTTCATTCCTTATGGTATTCACATTTTCAGTAGTTTTCAATTAAATACTGAAACACTGTATAGATTTTGTTACCATTCAAATACTGTATGTGGCATTGCTTGATGAGACATCAGGGCATCCCATGGGTATCCCATGGCATACCCATCCCTGGCATACTTCACTACTTGATCTAGTGAGTTATTTGTGCTACGGTCTGTAGTGCGCAGTCTGTTCAGGTACTTTTGTCACAGGCTGTAGAGTGTCGTCACCATTCACAAGCCCAGAGGACCACTGTCGAACTTATTCAATGTTAAACATTGTCAAATATTGGGGATGAAACGATACATCAGTGTACATCTACATCATGATGTTTAATGCATTCATACAATACACTACTCAAATAAACCACAAGCTACTCTATATATGATCCCCAGCAATTTTGTCAGTCAGATATCGAAACATGTTTAGTAATTAGCATTCATAATTTAAAAATAGCTGCGACTAACAAGTTTCTTCGTGTAGTTTTTCCAGTTGTACCCGATTTAAAATAATTGTAATCCTGAAGTTTCCACACCATTAGATGTGAAGATGTGTATCGATCATGGTGTTATGGTACATATCGTATCATGATTTTGCTGTATCGTTTCAACCCTATCAAATATGGAACAATAAATGTGGCTGTGAAACAAACTGTGCCTGTGTTTTCATTACTTTGTTTGTTGTCTAACACTGAGTCAGCGACGTTCACGTAATGTTATGAGAAACTGTGAATAATCCACACTGACAGCTGGGAATGACACATCAAGCCATGTACATGTATTATGCTGTTGGTGTACGTTGAACCACCGATGATCCCGTTAGTCACTCCTTACGACATGGATCGATTGCTGAAGACCAATTCTAACCCAGATCTTTACAGGTCGATACAAATACAAACACTTTTATACAATGAAGAATAGTGCCTCTTAACCAAAGAAACAAAGAAATTGAACGCCACATACCCGCAGTACAACCGTGTCTTAAATAGGGCTTGCCAATCCATAATACACCTTCTGAAAATATGTTTATCCTGGACTCTCTACATTTTCCAATACTTCAAATATTTGAGGAAATGGTAACTGATGCACCCATAAAATCACAACATACTAATGTACAGTAAGACACTCCTTCCTCACATGAGCACAACATGGCTCGGTATAGAACAGTTACCTCTAGGTCTGTCATCTGTTGAGATCATGACGCAACCCCTAGGCTGTAGTTAGTCTGGCAATCTAACCACCCTTATATCATTTAACATGGAGGGGTAGTGGGGTTGCCTTGTACCAGTAGTGAAAGTGTTTGCTAAACAATATTCAGCTTATCAGAATACATCCTAATTTACAACAAATCAACATCAAAACTTTAGTAAAACATTTGCCTACCAAGTAAATGGCATGTCTGTTTAAGTTTAGAATGGTTTACACAACATGAGATATCCAGTACACTTGAAGCACTTCCTAAAGAAGAACTGGCAGCACAACTTTGACACTTTCATGCAGAACTGATTTACTGATTAACAAGCGGCAGCAGTGAGTGGATAGGATTTTATGCCACCTCTAGCAATTTTCGAGCAATATCGCGGCAAGGGACACCAGAAATGGGCTTCACACATTGTACCCATGGTGACGAGGGAACACTTTAACCACTAGGCTACCCCATGCCCCTCAAGAGGCATCACATATGAAACCTCATGTCTACTGTGCAGAAACTGACTAGCACAAGTCTCTGTGTTAGGTTTGTTTAACATGGCAATCTGCAATATTCCAGCCATAAGGCAGCTGAAACAAAAATACACTGCAAATATGTATACATTTTAGACTGGGTATTTTAACATGAAACTCTAGGCAAATCCTGTATAGGACAACCTTCAAGGTTTGACAAATGTCTTCGTGGTTTAGTCCCCTGATGATTAAGAAGATACCTTTGTGGTCGAAACTTTCAATGAATAAAGAAATGCCTATTGGACTGGCCAAGCCACATGCTAAACACAATATGGCCCTGAAGATAAGACTTTATCATCTCAAATTCATATTGCACAGTTAATAAGTACTAAAATATGGAGAAATTCTCCACATATGAAATATAAACATAAAAAATGAGACATTTACTACTACAAGCAAAGATACAAACATATAGAAAATTGGACATTTCACAATGCTGACACCCTTGTATTATCTTGGTTAGAACTGGTCTTCAGAAACCTATGCTTGTTGTAAGAAGCAATTAACAGGATCAGGTGGTCAGACTTGCTGACTTGCAATGTGTGAAATTTGTGCTGGTCCTGTGGTCCCTGACTAGTAAAAATTCATCAGGACCACTAAATGATATGTTTGCAGTGGTACTGGTGGCCAGTGAAGTTTGTAGTGATAGTTAAGTAAATCTATAAGTGTTATTTTGGTCCAGTGAGGTACAAACAGGACCACTAATAACTGTCCATTCACACTGGTCCTGTGTCTAGTGTGAAGGTTTCTTTCCCTAACTTGGTTGACATGTCATATCCCAATTCACTGGAATTGTCTGGTCCAGACTGATAAATTTACAGACCGGTGCCATATAGCTGGAATACTGAACAATATTTGAAAGTGTATACATATATATAAAACTTTTACAACATGTAGCACATCTACAGCAAACTTTTATAAATAGGATGATAGCTAAATAATATTTGTAAATAGCGATCTGCTGTAAACATACTCATTTAAATGACAAACACAACCTAATTTTCTGGGTCCATTTCCTCGTTTGTTGTCAGCAACGGCATGAAGAGTTGGTAACCAGGGGCTAGAAACTGATATTATGAACGATATGACTAATTTCATTTTGGCCACCATTTTCTAATAACTTGGATTACGGACCAGCTTACCATCAATTTCTGGAAATTACGTAGAAGAAAAAAATAATGGAAATTGCCGTTTTATTTCCCGTCGACTGGACAAATTATTGCTGATTATTTTGCAAACATGGGCAAACACTAATCGGGATAAAAAAATATAAAATTAAGACAGATTATTTTTTTTATTTGTTTGCAGGTTCTATCCAGTTTATGATTACTTTCGCGATCGCTCTCGTAGTTGTGGTAAACTAATAAGAGTTATGCGCCCCTGACTGTACAGTGTTAGCGTCGTCTGCAAATGGCAGGTACGAAACACGATGGAAATCTGACAGGTTTTGATATTGATACACGTTTGACATTGACGACATGTCAGAAACATTTTGCTTTTGTATAGACTGCGGTCGAAAAATGGGAAATACTAAGGAATTACATGTAGTAGACAACTTTTTAACAGGCAACCTCTTGAACGAAAAAACATCATTCATGATTCGGATGTCATTTCGTTCGTTAGCTGAGACCTCATCGCGGCTCGATCTTCGGGTCTTCAAGTGAAAATTCAAAAAGAAGACCTATCCATCTACGTGCAATTTCAAATCACGTATTGACTTTGGCAATAGGCGTTACATACACATACACTGCAAACATCACAACCGACGATAATGAAAAGTCTACACTCATTCGGACTACAGATCGTCTGGCCACGTCTGAGAAACCAGCGAAAATGTATTTGATCTCCTCCAAAACTTAACAAGAGGATATGATTGACTGCCGAAATGAGGTACGAGATTTTCCTGAATTTCTTTACAAAAAATTGCATAATTGTCTTTGTTTAAAATTGTATATTTCTTAATTTAACGTGAAGTTTTACTTAATTATTTCGTCTGCAACCGAACTTCCGGTGATAGAGTTAGTTCCCTTTGCTCCCAATATGTTTTCATTTACTAGATCTATATAGAATTTGACTTCTAAATTGAACTACACTCTCCTTGTTTATTCATAACTCCCGAATGTTACAGAAAAACAATTCTGAATTACTTTTGTTTTAGTATATGCCTAGATTTATTAAATAATTTTTTATTTTTTTTATCATCCATTCAGGGAGTAGGGATTTTTGACAAAAATATCAAATACTTTTATTTAATCTATGTTCAAGTATTGACACGTCTACAATCAGGAAAACAAACTGCAACAATATCTGCTGTCAAAATTGGAGTACCAACAGCTGAATTATTCGCCATCACAATACGACAATGAGATGATAAGTTTCAATACCTGGTACCAGAAACTGTACTTTCAAGCTGAATAAAAAACATTTTGGCCGACTTTATAGTGTTTTCTTTTCCCCTCCTACTATTCATTTTGATATGTCAGGTCGAAGCACCCACCAACAAAAATTGAAGTAGTTTTTTTTCCCAATTTTCTAATTCTGCATTTCAGTTGAAAAATCAGTAATCCAAGTTATTTAAAAAGGGTGGGCTTAGTATTTACAAGCTTTTTGACATTTTGCTGCTTATAAACATCATGAATATCTTTGCTTGGTGTGTTTACAAATATGTAATTTAGAATCAATTTGGAACAGTGAGACTCCAATACCAGTAATGGGTGCTGAACACTAAAACGCTTTGAATAACTGTTTTGTAAACAAAGAGTATTGCATTATCAAGTTTAAAAATACCTCAGTAAAACAATGGCTCGTGGTATGTAAATAAGCTCCTTGTTTACACTGATGAACTAAATCAATATTGGTCTTAATAACAACGGCAGGACTTTGGACATCTTTTAACATTTTAGAGTATGAAATTTATTCTTACACCATTTGAAAATAAATACATTTTTGAGCTATAAACAAATACTGATTGAGTTTTTTAACCAGTTGATGGGGTTTTTTTTAAGTCTTTCCAAATTCATACTCATAGCTGTAAAATTAGCAGCTTCTAATCCAGTGACATCAACACTTAATACATAGAAAAGGTAGACTATATATCCGTTCCATATATACATCAGGTATGAAGTTTGACAACAAACACAAATAAAGATTGGTGCAGCAAAATGTGTTTCTACATTTTTCAGCAACTGCCATGTTGTTTTCTTGAGATGAAAACATCAGGTATTCTTTAAGGCACTCATAGTCTCACGCAGGTGCTACCTGTCACCTTCACAAGGACAATTCCATCTCTTCCTCTTCCTGACAGCGAATTCTGTTTGAACCAAATCAATCTTAAAGATCTTTGATTATCCATTGTTTAATGCCTCCATTGTATGAAGCTAGATTATCAGGAAACATTCGTCACTCCATTCTCCCACTCACTGCCCGACTTCTTTTTTTCATTGTACTGTATGTTACCAACCAATCAAACAATCCTTCAGCATAGGTCAACATTTGAAATTATGATGGAATTCTCTACATGCATTATTGAATCAGAATACCTCCATACAGGATGAGAGGGTTGCCCCTGTGCTATGAAATGTTCCCAAATACATTTGAATCAACACCACCCTTGTTTGTAGGGATTCTGGGTAACACTGGTCCAAAGTTACAACCTATGACTCATGTAAGAATCCACTTAAGAGCTTCACATATCAAGCACTGTACTGTGTCGTCCTGACTTCTTCTTTTACAGCCTGCTGTCATATGGCTGTAAACTTGTTACGTATCATACTGGAAAACAATCAGTCAGTATGTTATAAATATGGTAATTCAAGTATTGTTATACATGAATTGCTGCCTTTCCAACCATAACATGGTGGGTCAGATGTTTATACACGTGTCTGAAAATTAACTTTCGGTGACAAATGGACAGGGATTGATATTTATCTGGGTAGTGCAGATGAAAGGAAGACATCTGCTTGTTATTTCATACTCTTTGCCTTTTTCATTCGTTCTTGGCCTTTAGCTTTCTGTTTGGATTCAACCTCTGATAGCAATACTTTTTTCATCGTTAGTGACAATGTTTGTTCAGAACTTTTTGGCATCTTGTTATCTGCACCCTTTGCCTCTTTCATTCTTTTTTGGCCTTCAGTGTTCTGTTTGGATGCAACCACTGATGGCGATGTTATCTTCTTCATTGCTGACAATGTTTGTTCAGAACATATACATGCATGTGGCCCTTTGTCCCCTGTTGACAATTTATTAGTCTTAATTTGTTCTTCAAGGTTAGTGTCATTTACAAAATTCATTTCCAAATGCAAATGGTCAAATGCTGAATGTTTTTTCATGGTATGAACTTTTGAAATGCTAAATATTTGCACTATATCAGAGCTCACGATGAACATATCTATAGACGAGTCATCTGGCGTGTTTAGCATCAGACTGCCATTCGAAGGGAGTCTTCTCTCCACAGCAGATGCTGGCATGTTGAAGTCACCCCCAAGCAAGAGTGGAATATTCTCCTCTTCCACTTTCAGTTTCAGAAGAAACTTGACCAACGTATCAAGAGCCTTTTTCTTTTTCTCCATAGACACCCTATGAGGACCATGCCAACTGGCACAGAGGATCTCAAAATGAGGAGCCCCTTTGCTCTGTATTTTAAAGACGCAAAGTCTTGGCAGCTCAAAGTAGTCTGAGACCATGTCACTTCTCTTCACCATGTTGTCATACATGTTTCGCACTGATGTTTTGTTGTCAATCCTCGAGTATGTGATTTCCCTTGCATCAAATATGAAACCTGCTTCTTTGTGGCCTTCATACTGAAAATGGTCGGGAACATCAAACTCTTTCCATCCCCTCGAATGAATACCCACCCAGACAAATTCTTGTAGGCAAACCACCAGGGGGCTTTTTGACATTAACACATCTGCAATGTGATGCTTTCTTTTCTCTCTCATCCCTGCTTTGGAGTCCCCATTAGCATTCATATCAAGTATCACATACTCAGCGGGGGCTGTCGCCATGGCTTGAATGTGCGCAGACTGATAGGATCACAGGACAGTCACTGAAACAGAAATTGTGTCAGCATTACTGAATATTTTTTCAAGTCAAGACACCTCTCTGAAAAAATAACTTTGAAGAGCATTGCTTCTATCAGCCACTAAACAAGCATGAACTGTATGTCAGGTACCCATCCTTGGGGTGGGGATGTGATCTGAAAAGGTCAAGTGACCTACAATTATTGTGTTTCACAGCAATTTTCAGTAAAACATTGTTTTAGGCAAGAGGTGGTTCTGTTATTTCAATACTTTTGTTTGCTGTTTAACACCGCTGGCACACTTCACAATATTACAGCTATATGATGTCAGTCTGTAAATTACTGGCGTTAAACAACAAAAGAACAACAAATCATACATGGTTAACATTGGTGCCTAGTAACATATGAAGGTCACACAAGGTTAGAATTGGAGCCTAGTACTATGGTGGTCACACAAGGGTAGAATTGGAGCCTAGTAACCAATGGTGGTCACACAAGGTTAGAATTGGTGCTTAGTAACATATGGTGGTCACACAAGGTTAGAATTGGAGCCTAGTAACCAGTGGTGGTCACACAAGGGTAGAATTGGAGCCCGGTGAACTATGGTGGTCACACAAGGGTAGAATTAGTGCCTAGTAACCAGTGGTGGTCACACAAGGGTAGAATTGGTGCGTAGTAACCTATGGGGGTCTCACAAGTCTAGAATTGAAGCACAGTAAGTTTGATGGTCACACAAGGTTAGAATTGGAGCCCGGTGAACTATGGTGGTCACACAAGGGTAGAATTGGTGCGTAGTAACATATGGTGGTCACACAAGAATAGAATTGGAGCCTAGTAACCTATGGGGGTCTCACAAGTCTAGAATTGAAGCACAGTAAGTTTGATGGTCACACAAGGTTAGAATTGGAGTAAACTATGGTGGTCACACAAGGTTAGAATTGGAGCCCGGTGAACTATGGTGGTCACACAAGGGTAGAATTAGTGCCTAGTAACCTGTGGTGTTCAACATACTGGGCAGAAATGCATGGAAATGTCTGCCTTAGAGGCACCTAGATACATTAAAGAATCAAGTTATCTTGAGATCACTATACCTAACCTGTGAACATCCGGCTTAGAAATTGTCTCTCACAACCAATGTTTGCCAGAAGACGCAAGGGGACTGAGTGGTCTGACTTGCTGACTTGGTTGATGCATGTTGCCTAATAGCATAGACTGAGGTGCATAATGTCAGTCACTGGAGTGTCTGGTCCAGACATTATTGTTTACAGAACACCATCATATGGCTAGAATGATGCCCTTGTTGTGTAGACATTCTGTGTATTGAACCATAAACTATCCCTTTATTGTAAAACATGTACTGGAAAAAGAAATAAAGTTACAAAAAATTTGATTTTCAGATAGTTTCGGCATAATCACTGAAAATAGGAAAGTTGCACATACATATAATGTTCTGAACAAACTGTGATGTCCTCATAAGTTTGAAACACTCACACACATACACTGAATCTTCTTATGATAATGGTTTACTTCCTTGTCTAATCGACCTCATATCTAGACTGTTTCAGCTTACAGAATAAACTCCATACTTACATGGAAATCCAAGGCGATGATTAGTTATGTAAAAGACCATAGAAAGAGTAACAATCCCATGTCAAGCAATCTCCTCTCTAACAGAAAATAGAAAGCTTCTCTCTCAGATCAAGTGTTTACGTTATGATCTATAAATAGCCGTGGGCAAGTCCTGACCTGAATGTTGAACAATGCGTACACATCCTCATAGCTTGCCGCCTGCATTCCAATTTTAGACATCAGCAAAATTGTAAAAGGTCAACTTTTGACTGGAAGATGCATAGAAATCTCATTTGTATCAAATATTTTATTAAATTTGAGGGGTGTGTAGAACTGGATGTTTGACATACCACACTCCGTCATATCCGAAACTGATTTTTTGTTCTTTGATAATTTTGTTATAACCTTTTATCGTATATACTTATATTACGAATGTTCTAAATAACAGCAGAAATCATAGCGAGCAGCCTTTGGAACTTTGGTTTATTGGGAGTATTTTGTCAACGTTCATAATTTCAACACTGCAGTGTCGCCTATTGCACGTCCAGTTTTGATAGGCATGTTCACTGAAAACCAGCGTTGTGTGTGTTGAGTGCTTACAAAACCTGTGTCTCACATTTCGCAGCTTAATGAACCACACCATCCTATTTATTACTTTATCAACTCTTACTTGGTTCAAACTCTCATAATGAAGTCACAAGAAGTCACTAGTTAAAAGATTAAAAAGTGAAGAGGTAGAGCTGATATGGCAGAGATGCTTATATTGAACTGTTAAAATCAATATCAGTTGCTTTATCTGTACAGTATCGGGTTATATTCAAAACGGGAAACATTGGGTTTGAATGTCAGTCATCTCACCTTGATGGTATGGATCGGTGCTGATAATATCAATCACTGGATTATCCGATCTGACCTCATTATATACTGATTATATACTGGTTATTAAACATCTAGGGCATTCCTGAGTGTTAAACAACACATTGATGGGCGCTACACTTTCCCGAAGAGTTTAGCAGTATTCCAGACCTAACACAGAGAGGGACACATCACCTGAGATGGGCTTCACACATTTTCTCCATGTATGTTGTTTTACGAGTGAATGGTTTAACCACATAATCACGTTCATTCGGTTGTATGGTTCGGGTGCTGGCATATGACGTTTTTGCAATGATGAAAAGAACAATATACTTTGGTAGGACAGCTTTTTGAATCAAAAGTGTCCCTTCGGAAATCCATGGTAGAATGGGTCCCAGGCACACATTGCTAGCTGTCAAGGCGAATACATTCTGCAACAGTCGATTGTGCCTCCTGTCGTTGGAGGACAGGAATCTGGTGCTTTGGGGAACTGGGAACAAGGTAACTTTCGGTCCAACACTCAACCTCGACCCTTATTATATATTGCAAGCACGGGTAGTAGAACTGGAAAGGTTCAATTATGCCGCTGGTTATGTCGTTCCTTATCATGGAATACAAGACTTTCGAATTTTTTTCTTAAATATAATAAACTGAGATATATAAACTAATGACATTTGTAATTCAAAATCAAAACAATCGTAAGGAAACAAGATTGAGAATATATTTTAAAGAACACTTGCATTTTGTGTAAAGATATCTCTAAGACAGCCTGCATCCGTTGCAGTTGAACTAAGAGTGAGAGTTAACGTTTAGAATCTCATCGGCAATATTTCAGCCATATCGTAACTAAAACAAGTCATCTATTGATCATCAATAAAGTTATCTAACCACAATCTGACGACAAAATACAGTAAAATAACTAGATTATCACACAGAGAGAATTAGCACTAGCAAGGAACTGTAAAATAAACCTCTGTTATGGACAATGCAACATAAAAACTGACTGAAAATACCAGCAATTGAAGCTACACCACGATACTAGGGGCTAGATTTACATAATTCTTTCAAGTTTTGGTGATATTTTGCACAAATTAGCCATAAATTAATAGAACACATATTTTACGATTAAAATCACGGACGGAACTCACGGAGAATAACGCTCGTCGGGAAGATAGAAGCAGTTAAGTGCGCAAATTGCAGAGGGACTCAAAAACCTACTTTCGAACTTTTTTACTAAACTATATCAAACACAAACAACAATTCTTAGTCCGCAAGTCCTGTTTCCCAAGTTACTACTGACTCGAAGCTGTACCAAACAGTTCTCTAGTCCCGTGAAGATCAGGGCCCCTTTCCTCAAAGCGATCGTAGCGCTAAGATGATCGTAACTCCCATACTTTGACTTATGACTGTCGTAGCATTTCGATTGCTTTGAGGAACGGGGCCCTGGGTCGTAAATGGCCTTCAGCATAGCTTGATGTTAAGAGGTGATGGGGTAGTTAGACACGTTGATTCCTGCATCTTTTCGTACCCTCATTGCGATGCATTAACATGAGCGTCTGGCCCGGACTCGTTTATTAACAGACCACCGCCATTTAGCAACCAGCGTTGAACAACAAACAAACTTTTCACTTTTGGGTGAAAGATCAGCAGATGCTGGATGCAACCGCAGGACACCATAATATAATATGCAGACCCTTATAATTGTGTTGATGCTGTGTACGAATTGTTATGGTTCATGTAAGCAAACTAGCCATGATAAAGTTACATAATGTTAGCACCTTTTGGGTTTAGATGTGCTTGAACTTGGTGAATATAGTGAAACTGCTTTCTCTCTGATGATGAGGTACATGTATGTGGTATGCATCTGGAAGCTCTTGTATTATTCTTCAATTGGAAGGAAGTAGCTCTGGTATCAAAGCATGTCAGATACAGATAATGTCTCAGATAGGATCTGTCTGAGGTTTGTACCTATCTGAGAAGGACATGTTATAGAGAATAACATTCAAACAATTACTGATTGAAATTAGTAGATGCAGACATAATTTAGTATAGGTATTGCAACTCAAATCAAATATCGGAAGTATATAAAGGATACCATAATGGAACATGTCACATCCCTTTTCGCTGTGTCTTACGAGGGAGGACCACTTGCTGGTAGAACAGCCAGGTGTGCGAGTTGTAGGTGTGAAACTGAAATTTCACTGGACGCGCTTGTTGATTATCTGGTTGTTCTACCAGCAAGTGGTCCTCCTCATAAGACATAGCGAAAAGTGACAACAAAATGATGATCGTTTGTTAAACAATTTTTTTAATCGGGTGAGACAAATCAAGAAAGTTGGTCTGTCGATTTCACTTGACTCTGCAAAATTTGATTTTGTTGCAATTATTATATTTTGTGTTAGTGAGTAATTCATCGGTCTAAAATGAAGTCAAACGGACTACAGACATGATCAATTTGGACCGAAAAATGCGTCTGATTTTATGACCGCTTCACTATACAACACTGCCCCAGTACTTCCTCTTGACCACCAACATGGCTGATGTCTGAACTGAAGTGAACTTTATTTACTCTAATAACACAACAGACGTGATGGAAATAGTAATAATAAAACATTTATTAAAACTCGAAAAATACAAGTAAATAACTGTTTCCTCCTCGCACCCCGCTGTCATTTTAAATTTTATATTTAAGAATATTCAAACTCAATTACAATGTACAGACCCAACCATAAACAAACAACATTTCACTTCCCTATTTATACAAAATTAACAGCTAAATGTTAGTAAAACATTTGCCTCCAGGTAAACGGTATGTCTGTTTCCATTTAGAATTGTTTACACAACATGAGATATCCAGTCAGTTTGAAGCACTTTCTAAAGAAGAACTGGCAGCACAACTTCGACACTTTAATGCAGAACTGATTTACTTATTAACAAGAGGCATCGGAGAGTGAGTATCGTTTTATGCCAGTTTTAGCAATATCAGGGCGGGGGACACCTGAAAATCGGCTTCACACAATGTACACATATGGGGAATCGAACCCGGGTCCTCGGCGTGACGGGCGAACACTTAAACCACTAGGCTACCCCATGCCCCTCAAGAGGCATCACATATAACCTCATGTCTACTGTGGTGAAGAAACAGACTACAAGCTGTGACAAGCAAAAGTCTCAGTGTCAGGTTTGTTTAACATGGCAATCTGCAGTATTCCAGCTCTATGGCAACTGAAACAAAAATAAACATCTCAGGTTGATCTGTAAATATACATTTTAGAACGGTACCTTAACATGAAACTCCAGGCAAATCTTGTTATGGATAACGTTCAAAGTTTGACAAGAAAATGATTTTGTGGTCCATTCTTTTAATGATTAAGAAGATGCCTTTAAGGCCGAAAATCTCAATGAATAAAGAAATGCCTAGTGGGCATGCCACATGAAAAACACAATATGCCCCTGAAGATAATATTTAATAATTTCAAAGGAAACTCAGATTGCACAGTTGATAAGCACTAAACTATGGAGAAAAAGAATTTATGACATTGAAATATAAACATAAAACTAAGACATTTACAAGCACAAGCAAGGATACAAACGTATAGAAAATTGGACATTATCAAAGTGCTGACTAGGAACGATAATTGAAATTGCACATATATTGTATATGTTTATATATATATATATATATATATATGTGTGTGTATATATATGTATATATATATATATATATATATATATATATATACATTACATGTATCACATCTATAGCAAACCGCATTAAAGCATAATATGTCTCTTCATGAGAGGATTTTATTGTGAACTTTTGCATATTTATTTATCGGATGATCATCTGGTGATGCATGTCAAGCAAGGCGTGCCAAAGGTTGTTGGACAGAATCTGAAATTTGAGGTTGATTTTGTTGATGGCGATGTGCTGCCTTCTGTGATGGGCCAGATGTTTATACATTTGTGTATAAATAAAATGAAGCTTCGGTGACAAATGGATGGTGTATTTGTCAAGGTAATACAGATGACAGGAAGACATCTGCTTGGCATCTTATCTTTTTTTCACAATTTGCCTCTTTCATTCGTTCTCATCCTTTAGCTTTCTGTTTGGCGATGCCTTCTTCTTTGTTAGTGACAATGTTTGTTCAGAACTCTTAGGCATCTTATTTTCTGCACCCTTTGCCTCTTTCATTCCTTCTTGGCCTTTAGTTTTCTATTTGGATTCATCCTCTGATGGCGATGTTTGTTCAGAACTCTGTGACAACTGATTTTCTGCAAAGGCAAATGGTCAAATGCTGAAATTTGTCCATGGTGTAAACA